TCAATCGATAGCCCCGACTCCATATATAACCAGACACAGTACTAAAATGCGGTGCCCTGCAAAAAAAATTTCTGGCGTTTCGCCTACAAGTAAACTTATATAAAATAATACGCTAGATGGGGCCCCTAGATTCCCCCTGTTGGTTACATACATACAGTTGTTTCTAGTGAGGGAAAAGTGAGCGCGCGAGGACCCACCATCGAATTTTTATCGAATTTCTAAAGCTTTTTCATGTGACGTCTAATGTTACGCTTACATTTGTTTTGGACTTTGGCCAGTGTCAGTTCTATATTTTTTATAAAGTTTTGGTTTCTTAATGTGATAAATCTGTGTATGTAGTCTATATAATGTGGTAAATGCACCTAGCAGATATGACTTGACAGACTTGATATGAAATCTGATCTTAATTTACCTGTATGTCAATGAGACGCACATGTTTAATATCTGTCACCTCTGATTGCCCTTTAACCCTGGTCTTTGCTACTTCAATCTTTGCTACTTCAATATATATTGCTTCTTGTCCTTCTTTTCAGTTCCATTCACAGCTCACTAGTCGCTGCGAGTAATCACTGTGCTTGATATAATTTGTGCTCTTTACTGTGGTTCTATTTGCTTTTAATGCCCGCAGCAATCCCTACTTTTGCAGGTACCCTAGTTTAATATTTCGCACGCTACATTCTCCTGTCGGCCGCCAGTTGGTCCGTACGTTAGGGTCGAAACTGCGTTTTAAAGCCTTCAAAATATAATATTTTGGGCTCAAAATACTATCAAAATGAAGAGAAAAGTGAGACGAATCCACTGGCATACGGACGAAAACGAGAAAAATGGTTCATAAAATTCGCCGCTCATGAACAAACAAACGGACAAACTAACAAACTAACAAACTCACAGGCAGAATATAATGCGGCGCCAAAAATGGCACGGGCACCGCAATGTCATGTTATATTACGCTTTATATCAAATTAAATTTCGCGTACTCAAGCTACGTAGTCTGTCATTTCACCAATTACGGCGCTGATAAGGCGCTCGTAATACATCCTGTTATTTTTTAATAACAAACTTTAATATGTGGCCAGTGTAATTCCTAACGAAGAGCCTTTGCTCGGAAGTCGAAACGTCGAATCTTATTGCTCCGTTTGGTAGTGAGTAGAACTTTTGCTGCATTAAACCGCCATAATAAAAAAGATGGTTGCATATCGATTTTAAAAATAGTTCTTTGAGTATTTAATTCGACTCGGAAATATTTTCCCGCTATATGAATTTATCTAGGTTTAATTGACTTATTTTTTTATGAAAGTTTGTCCCTGCAAGACAACATCTTTTGTCAAACAATACTAGACACCCCTTATTAGTTATATGCATTATAGTTTTAGTGATACCACTTATATTCAATGTCAATTTTCAATGTCTCATTTATGTGCTAACCCGTGTGAGAGCTCTTACAAAAGCTACGGTCAGGTGTACGATTACTAACAACAACCCTAATCAGCTAACTTGAATATCAGTGATACTATAGGCACTAAAACAACAATGAAACGCGCCACGAATTGTTGAAAGGGGACACTAGTATTGTGTCTCTCTGGTTCGGACAAGCAGATTGAAATCCTTTCATTTATTCAATTATTCAGCTATTATGAACTTCTCAATTTTAGAAACAAAAATCTTTTATCCGATCTGCGTTGGAAGCACCATCTGCAGCCGAAGTATACATACAATCGTTATATCTGATCAGTCTGGACGTCTGGTAAGTAACCGACACAACAGGTCCAACACAATATTAATTTTAATAGTCTGATATCGACCTATGTCTATATTTGGCCGTATCTCTGGTTTTGCGTATCCAACAACAACACAAATACCACCATTCTATTCATCGTGAAAACTTAACTCTACGCATCTAGCCAGTGTTTGTATAAATATACAATGCAATACAAGGAAATTATGGTTGCTTGAAATTAACTCCTTTTTGACCGGCCGTGTGATTTTGGAGGTTCATATCTTCGGTTCACTACATGCTATGTAGATGAAGGTAGCACCATTCAATTCAGCCAAAAAATATCTCCTAATTCCTAATGATAGTTTTAGTCAAAGACAAACATTATAGCGATTTATGACCTTTGAAGGTTCAAGAGGTATTATATTTCAACAAATATATTTTGTTCGAAAAATGTAAACAATGTCACTAAAGCCATACTTTCGCCGGACACAACTTCGGCCCCTTCGAACATATCTTTTTGTTGTAGTCTTGTTCGATTCACAATCAAAAACACTATTATAACAGTGTTATTTTGAAGCTTGTAGTCTCAGTTTTTGTATCTGCGAAGCAGATATATATGCTATCGCAAACGTACCGTACTGTTACCGTACCGTACCGTATGTTAACAGATAGCCATTCAGCGACGAGCTTATATAATTTAAGCTATTTTATGCCAATTTAAGCCAATCAGCGATTCGTTTACATCAATTGTTTACATCGTGCCCGCATCTAACCTGCGAACGGGCATACTTTAGCCTCGTCAAGACCCTGGGAACGAGGTTGCGTCAGGCCTCGTTTATAAATCGTGTTATTGTTTCAAAAATATCTTGATATTTTTATCAATTTATCTTGAATTGGCTGTCTTTTTTTTATTCCGAAGTTGTTTATCAACATGGAATCTTATCCTTATCTGGTAAGTAGTCAAATACCACATATTATATATTTAAATACCAAATTTGTACAAATATATGTCCCACATATTTTATAATACATGAGTTCGCCAGTTCGGCAAATATTTACTATACTATCTATAGTTTAATACGGTAATATTGCCGTATCTTCGGCGTAGAGTTTACATGGAATGCACTCTGCAATTTTTTTATTAATATATTACACTGTATAAAATATTGGATATTTTCGAGGATATTTTAAGCCATTTATCACCATAGTTCACAAAAAGATTTATACAGTATTAAAAACAATCCTTCTGTGACTTCTGTAATATTTTAAACAGTGAAAACATTCTCAGGAGATATTGAATTAAATCCTGGTCCTGTATATTGACTCCATAACTCTGTTCAAAACAACAGTCCAACTATAAAGCTGTCATCAAATGTAGTGTTAAAGCAAAGGTTGAAGATGTTATCAGTTAAAATACTTATACATTTTGGTTTTACACATTAGAGTTAATTAAACAAAATTTTTACAAACTTTTTCAAATAAAAGAATCCTCACCCTCCCGAGCCTCATTACATTGTCATTTTGCTTTCTAACATAAATATTTTTCTTTAGAGATTAATACAAGAATGAAGAATAAATGTACTGGATATTGGCTGGATAATTTTGTCAGAACAACAACTTGCAAGACAATCTTACCTAAATTCATTAGTATGGAAAATAATTTAACAGCTACAATGAGTAATCATATATTATATGGTGGATTTGATCAATGGCACACAATGTACAAAACTAAACTTGTGATACCTTCTACTCAAACCGATAATCTCCCACAACACGATTGTTTTTGTGTGAATGTGCTGTACGTGTTAAACCAAACAGTGTGGTATATCATTAACCGTGCACAGAACTGGAATTTAATTATATACTTCACTCATGACCTTCAAAACATTCTCAATTATTCAGTGGTCTTCGACATGTTCACCAAATATTTTGTGTATGTTACTCAACAGTTAACATTGGCAAGTGTAAACAACAAGTGACATAACTTTTGCTTCATATGATTACAATAAAGTTTTGAAAATTTAATGAGTATGGATTGAATTGACAGGTGACAGTTTACTAAATAGCCTGCTGTATAGACACTTTCAATATTGTTTGCATGAAATTTTTATTTCCTGACTGCATAATTATCTGTTACAATCATAATCACATTATAAAGTTAGTTAAATTTTCTCGGGGCGGGGATGGGGGTAGCATTTGCCCTGCTGCACTCCCCGCTGTGTACAGCCCTGTTTTAAATCTTAAATGCCATTATAATAAGTAATGAAATATTTCAATTGTCCCATGTCATCTTCATTATTCAGTTTCTTTCAAGAAAATACGAAATGTGAATCAAGTTTTTTCGCAGATACATGTACGCGTCGCGTACCTATTTTTCGTCTTTTATTTCGATATTTCAATCTGTTGAAATATTAGTGAAGTCAGGGGGATACTTTTTGACCGGAAATACGATTTAATAGATTTCCCAAAACATTGCGTGTTTAGGGACGGACCATTTGATTTTTCATGGGGCGCATTTTTGAGAGTGCTCGATTTTTTTTTGGACCTCACCGACTCCGCACGATTATTTTTTATTGAATATTGGGCGTGCACGATATTTTTTTTTAATTTTTAATATGGCGTTAATACAATACCTGCATTCAGTATTTTTATAAAACGGTCATTCACGTATGGTTAATATATTCCGGATGAAGAATGTATTTGAATATACAGCATTAAATCATTGGTCTACGAAACGTAGACAATAGCCCCGATCAAAATTGGATCACGTGTAACCCATTTTACTGGCAGGCAGTACTCTACCACTGACGAGTAAAAATCGGCTGGCATGAGACAGAGGAAATACCAAAGTAGGGCGTATTTGGCGCACTGCCAGTTAATGAGTGAACAGCGCTCTGAAAGTTATATTTAAAATGTGATTTAATCTAGAATTTTTCAAGTGGAGCACAAAAACGTAGACATGCACTCACCACTACATCAACCTTTCACATACATACAAGCAGCTTGAGGGAACATATCCAGAAGGGGTTGCTTTTTTCCCTTTCTGTAAACCAGAGCCGAGCGAGGAACGTTCCCAAATACCATCGTAGTGATACCAGTGATCATATCTCTTCACTGCGCCCCGGTAATGCTGTCCATTGAAGGACGTGCAACCGATCAAGAGGAAGCTTTTAACATAAATTTCAAGTGTAAAAATCTCTCATTAAAATCATTATTGAGTCTATGGAAAACATTTGCAAGTATAAAATTAATAAATTAAATCAATGCTAACAGTAACTGCTACCTACTTTTCATTATACAGTGATATAGTATCGGGAAGCTGACTGGCATCATATATAATTCCTCTATAGGCGAAGTAGTCCAGTGGAATTGGCAGGAATGAAGGAGTGCCGCCAAGAAATTTACGTCTTGTGACGGTGCGTTTGCCTCCACAGCAATATTGTAACAGCTGCCTATATAAAAACGATCGTAAATTGCATTCGATTTAAAGTAGTTCACCCTTTTGCAAGCGACTAAATTTTATTATATATACTTCTGTATGATAAAAATCTTACATGATTTGACCAGTTGTTGGATGAATGGTGTTTGTCATCTGAAGAGTGCACGGTGCATCAGGGATATGGCATCGCAGGGTAAGGTTGCACTGGAACTGCTTGGCATCAGTGGCAACCCAATCATCTAGAGCAGCCTGTAACAGTCCAGGTGGTGAAACACCGACATCGCTGAAACGAAAATACACCACAAAATTTTAACAGTAGTTCTTCAAATTAGTAAAAAATCAGGTTCAATTTCATGTAAAAGGCATGGATAGAATTTTACACCTTAGGGAAATAGAATGTGAAACAAACGTCTTCGTAGGGGAGGGACAAGCTTGAGAACTGCAGAAACTGTTGTAACTGGTTTTACTTGGACCAAGGCAAGATATGGAGAGCTCCTCCTCGTTTCCCCAAACATCTAAAACTGGACGAGTCATGTAAAACCTTCCAGGGAACAAGCTTGTTATCCAGGTTAGCTTTCCTTCAGAATACATTCGTTTATCGAAGAGGTCCTTGATCTTTACAAGCTGTACCGCATACAGCTCAACGGAAGATTGTAAATGACGATAAAAAGCACCGTGTTCAGTCATGATAACATAAAATATTGTTAAATAGTTGTCAATGGGGCAGGTATTTATTAGCGTCTTTACGGCCGTATTTGTACTGAAGATTGCACCTCCCCATGGAGGAACATTTAATTGGGATGCAGGGCATGTGGAAGGAACTTGCGAGCATACTTGTGGTATCAAAGAGATGTTGATCACTATAGCGGGCGCCGAGAGTTTGACTGCAGAATCGGTACACTTAATGAAGGCACAGGACGGCTTGGCCTTGGTAGTAGGAGCCAACGAAGTAATTGTAGAAACAGTTGTCCTGACAGTAGCCACTGAGGGCATCGCAGTAGGAACTGATGGCTTGACAGTAGCAACTGAGGGCATCGCAGTAGGAACTGAGGGCTTGACAGTAGGGACTGAGGGCTTGACGGAATGAACTCATGGCTTGACAGTAGGAACTGAGGGCTTGACGGAATGAACTGATAGCTTGATAGTTGGAACCGAGGGCTTGACAGTACGAACTGAGGGCTTAACAGGAAATTTAGTGGGCTTGGTATAAGAAGCAGATGTGCTATAATAATGTTTCGTGATATCTGCTATTTTGTCTGACTTTGTGTAGCCCTTTCGTTCACATTGAGTCTTGGACAGTCCCATTTTTTCAATCATGTACAAATGCAATTGTGACACGTACAATTTTCCCAAGGATTTTGAATAAATAGAACTTTCCCAGTCGATATCATTGTATGCTTTTGCTTTTTCGATTGTCCTGGCTTTTGCTGCCGACTGTCTGGAAATCGTCGCTTTCACCTTCATGTCATAACGTCTCTTTAATTCGGACTCAGTCACATTTCTGAGGCTTTCGCCGACGAATTGTTCAACGAAACTATCCGTCTCATCTTGATACTTTCGTAGAGTGTCATTTCGGTCAACAACAGTGACAGAAATGCTGCCATCCCCCTGCGTTTTCTCGCATAAATCAAGGATAGGCTCTCCACAGCGGTCCTGTAAGTTTTGAAGCTGCTTTCGTGGGCAAAAGTCATCTTTATTCCTCAGGCATGCATCTCTTACTCTCTCTTTCTCAAGACCAAATTTTTCAGTGATGTCACCTTTTAACACTTGATTTAGAATGCAGTAATGAAAGCTTTCTTGACCGTAATCTGGAACAGGTGGTGGCAACCGCTTGAGAGGTACACCTTTCCAACCACCATTTAAAAGACTACTGTTCTCAGTCTGTTTATGAAAATGACAAATATGTGCACTGTCTTTCTCGGAACAGCCACTGCGTATGCCCTCACATCCGTTATCATACAAATAATAGTGATCCTTATAGAAATCTTGTACATACGTAAAGTATGCACTACCGGCACAGGTTGCCAGCGATACAGGAGAACTAGCATTAAGGCATTTTGTCACAAATGCCTCGTCAAAGTAGAAAGACCGATGATCTTCTTGTGGCATGAATGCGTGGATTGAAGTACCCATGCATTTTTTCCCATCAATACGCTCTTTCACACGTTTCGCACATTCATTAGCCGCATCCATGTGTCTCTCCGATTTAAATTTGTTGAGCTCATCTTTGGTGAGGTCCAAAAGTCTTGTTTCCCCCTTCGAAGAGATGAGCGTGTCTTTATCATATGGTATAGGTATTGAACGCCCATCCTCCAAGCATTCGTTCAGTGAGCGCATGACTCGTTCTGCAACGTGTGTGGAAGAATCCCCTGCAACAAATGAATATTTTGGGGGCGTTAAAAAGAAAAAAGTTCAATGTTAACATGAAAATGGTTTATATGGGCACATTATTCATTTGCACATGGGCACATGCTCCATATATATATTTCAAAAACTCATTAATAATTCATGAAGCAATTATCCAATCTTGAGCAAGAAATTAGTCACGTGCATACGTCTTTATAC